GTATCCCACTGATACGCACTGGTTCTCAACCACTATGCAGGCTTATTTCCTGTCGGCTGATTAGGTACAAAATTGCTTTCTTTGAACCTTTGCATTGTTTAAGTTAGTGAAAACTTATTTTCAGTTCATTTTTATTTTGTGCGTTTTACAAATTTGCACTGATTGTTTCTCTAGAAGCAGGCCCTATGCTTTTTGTTTTGTTTTTTTGGATAAACTACATTTTATTTTATTTAACCATTGTATTTAAGATAAAAGGGTAGACATCCTATTTTTTTTATAAAATAGTATCCAATCCAATTTTCAACTAAAAAAGATCCCAGTTTAATAGACAGAGCGAGTTAATGACATTTTTCCCTCAGTATTTTATAATTATTTAAATACAAATATTTATGCTAAATTAATCTTTTAGTTTAGCTTTGTTAAAAGCGTATAATGGAACACAGAATTTAACAACAGTGCATTCAGTCTAAGGCTTAGTTAAATTACGTTAATTTTGATACTAAAACTTCCTACGACTTCAACATGGGAATGGAATAAATTTTCTAAATCTATCCAATGCGAAAAGTTTTTGTTCAAACCATTCCATGGATTTGATACACACATTCACTTTTAATACACTGTCGTGAGATTTAAGATTACGAAGTTCGATTAAGTCTGATGATTTGACCCACTATAGCTAAATTCCATGAACGTATATTGGTATTAGGGAGCTGAATACTCTACAAGCCCGGTAGATGTATTTTAGTATGCAATTTAGCAGCTTCAAAGCCTTGTGGTTATTGCCTATCAACCACTTCTCAAACACTCCAATATTCTTCCGAACATGGTTTTGAGTAAATGCTATATAATACATCATTGTAATACTCTATTGGCATTACCATTGCATAATACAATAAGACCTCTTTTACATGGTTCCTATTAGTACGGACGTTGATTAATTCGAACCACTATTTAACAGTATAGTAGCATTTACTATTGAACCCTCATTCAATAGTCATAGATAGTAGTCTACCAAATGGCATACAGCTGCTAAGAATGCACCTCAGTATTACTCAGTTTTCTTTTTCAGTTTGCGGTAGCTTGCTGATTTTTACAAGGGGATATTTTTTAGCAAGGGGATACCAAATTGACCGGAAACAACACTACTTTTCTTCGTGTTTATTTTATTTTATCACAATTTCCATTCATTGCCAAACTTAAAATCACAATTATTTCGTATTGATGAGGGTTTCATGAACTGTCCTCGTGGAGGCTGAAATTAATATTTAGCATACTTTGGTTATATTATACGTTCTTACCACTATTTCATTAATATTGGGAATATAAGGGTGGCGAAAATTACTAATTAAGGGGATTTTTATGTGCTTATACGATCAGAAATTGTAATCTAGATAAAGAATGAAAAAGCAATTTAGGTAAAATCAGATCAATGTTGCCTTTTCAAACAGACTAACGTTAAAAAAAAACCTTTTATAATTCATAAACTCCTAAATAGCGTTTAACGTTGATACAGAGGGTACGTTTACGACATCCATCTTGGTTAATGATCATACATTCTCGAAGAGGAGTAAGTGGTTATTGATAAGACAAAGTATGGTGATAAGCTGGTGATAAGCGCTAACGTGAACAGCACACCTGGTGACAATATATCGTTCAGAAAAGACGATAAACCCTTAGGAAATATCAGCTGATTGATACAAGAGTGACAATCTTCGACGATTGGGTAGAATAAAGTGATGAAAATTACGTTACCCTTTTTAATTGTCTAGGCAATCGAGGTTGAAAGGGGCTGGCTTCGAGAACCAGGTGCCATTCAGCTTTGGGCTATCAATTAATGATTATGACTAACGTAATTTCAACTTTAAATAGTAGCAAGATTCGGACTAAATAATGAAAAGTGTACACAAACAAACTCAAGTTAAAAGATACAGCACTGACACAATCTTATAAAGAAAAAGACCAGGCATTGAACGTCTGAAATACGTAATTAATGCCCATGGTGTGAAAAAAACTCAGACATATAAAAATGCGAATGTTTCTTAGCACGGAATAGTAGTGCAGATAAATACCTCTTTCTGGAATAAATTTGTGTATTTTGAACTAGCAATTTGTTATATATATTTCTGACCTTGTCCTCTTTTATTTCTGGGAGTTTTCAAATAGTATAGTTTTTTTTTTTTTTTATATCCACCGAGAAAAATTGTGGTTGCGACTTAATTACTTCAACTCAACCGCTACAAATTGTTGTTTTCATAATTAATTCATATTCAACAAATGCTCATCACGAACGCTTGAATGCTGCTTGTGGATTGATTGTTTTCAGCGGTAAATGGCCTATTACGGGAGAGCTTAAGTTTTAATCACAGTGAAATTGGCTACTTAAAATAACGATATAGAAATATTGAATATTTCTTCTTGTAATAGATATTGTTTCGTGATAGGAAATTAGTCATGATTGCTTATGACAAAAGTTTAAAAGTTAAATTATCATTAAGTAAATAAAGATATGTTACTGGAGTAAAAGATTGCTACTGTTATATTATTTAGTTTAAACAGTAAATTTGGAATAAAAACTTACATTTATTTATTTTATTGTTTCATGAAATATGTCAATCCACTGTTTCCCCCCTGTGTCCCTTAAAATGTATAACTTATAATTAACATATATTTAAAACGTAGTACTGTAAAATGTGAACATATTTTATACCCAAATCATATTTTATTGAATTAATTCGCTTTTTATTGGAGCTAGGTTTAACTTTTACAGTGAAATACAATAGTTTAGCAAGTGAACGTTTTACTAAAACTATTAAAATGAACTAAGAATTAAGAAAAGTATTGTAGTTACTTAAAAATATGTAAAATATATATATATATATATATATATATATAAGTGTATATTATTTTAGAATTAACATAAATTTCTTCTTGTTTTTGTGAACTATTTCAGTGTTTAACGTAGAATAAAGAAATAACTGGGATCAAACGGATTTTCGTTGCAAATAGAATCAATCGAAATTTATGGAACTGTTGTTCTAGTAATTAAGGGTGTGACGGTGAAGCTACATTTCAAAACTTGATCTGCTAGAATGGATGGAGACTAAAAGGATTTGTGCCTAGCCAAATGTTGTAGTTAGCCAAATGTTGATTTGAAATAAGTGTTCTGTAAATTTGAAATGGTAAACTTAAACTTTTACAAATACTTTTTTTACATAATTCTGATCATGTTTTAGTTCATTGATTATAACTTACGGGTCATGTCCCCTTTACTGTTGCATATTTTATTCCGACATTTCCTTAATAAATCTATAGGCCTACCAATTGGGTTTGGAAGTTGAAATTTAACATCCGATGACCATCCCGATGATATAAATTAGCATTTTATGGTACATTATGTATTTTCTTGAAGCTACAAAAAAGGCATTAAAAGTTAGTCGAAAAAAGACTAGTGTGGTTCAGTTATATTATATCTATGAGCGAAGAGCAGTCCAAACAGCTAGTAGTTACTTATAAATACTATAGCCTATGATAAATTTGGATGTATTAAGTTTGGTACGAATCTTATCTGTAGTCCTATATAAACTTTAAATCCAAAAGTAAGATAATAATTATTTAAAGACCTCAAATTTACAGTTAAAAACTATTGAAATTAATTGGATTTTTACTACAAAAATTAAAAAGTAAAAAACGCATCAATATGTGTTAGTTCGCAGAAGGCCGACCCGCTAACTTTGTACTTAAGTTGGCCGGAGCGTTGAATATTTTAATAGAAGCCGAGGTTTAGAGTTGGCGCTACAGGCAGTGGATGTATTTATAGCTATCACGAGGCCCTCGGTACGCTGCCTCCTGCAAGGCGTAAAACACCTCCCGAGATCACAATCACAATCACTAACAGCTCAAAAAACCTTTCGGGATAACAATCTCAATATCTGAGACTCCTGATATAATCACGATCACTTAGTATGAAAAACGCTTACCGAGATCACAATCACGACCGCCAAGGGAATAAAACACTTTTCGAGATCTCAATTACAATCACTGGCAGCTAAGTTCTTCACATGTAAAGGTAAATAAAACACCTTCACATTTCGAGATCACAATCACAATCACTGAGTGAGTAACACACCTTTTGAAATCACAACCACAATCACTGAGTGAGTAAAACGCCTTTCGAGATCACAATCACAATCACTGATTGAGTAAAGCACCTTTCGAGATCAAAATCACAATCACTGAGTGAGTAAAACACCTTTAGAGATTACAATCACGATCACTGATTGAGTAAAACACCTTTCGAGATCAAAACCACAATCACTGAGTGAGTAAAACACCTTTAGATATTACAATCAGAATCACTGATTGAGTAAAACACATTTCGAGATCAAAATCACAATCACTGAGTGAGTAAAACACCTTTCGAGATCACAATCACAATCACTGAGTGAGTAAAACACCTTTCGAGATCACAATCACAATCACTGAGTGAGTAAAACACCTTTTGAAATCACAACCACAATCACTGAGTGAGTAAAACACCTTTCGATATCACAATCACAATCACTGAGTGGGGAAAACACCTTTTGAGATCACAATCAAAATCACCTACCGAGATCTCAATCACAACTACTGATGTCGGTAAGATACTACATAGGTAAATATTTTAAGAATGTTTCTTTATCAGTCTAATACTAATTGTAAAAATTGTCAAATTTGCTATGATATTGTTTTGAATTGTAGTAAAAAACTTATTTCCTCAACAGTATTTGCTTATTCATTTTTGCTGTTTACATCAAAATGAATATTATTTTCGTTCAATCAAACCTAACCAAACGGTGATTTGAAAACTTAGCAACTTTACTGAAGTCAGTATGTAAACAATAGTTTTAGTTTATGACATTTCCCTCAAGTTTTAGATATTTTACTCTTCTTTTATAGTTTTTTTGAAAGTCTAATCAATCACTAATTAAATTATTCCACGGAAAATGTTTATAAATGCTCACCTAAATGTCACTGAGAAGCTGCCTTGGTGGTTTTGAAGTTCCAAACACAAACACTCACTTCACTCAACGATCGCCACTTAGGACGCCACTACATGGTGCCGCGCCGCGACACGTCGAGCGCCGACCATCTACTGAGCGTCGCGACGGACGAGGGGAGTGCGTCGTGGGGTGGGTGGAGGCGTCGCTACCCCTACCTGTTCTCACTTTGTTGTAACTAGCCAATGGATGTTAGGGGAAGTTATCGGATCGGCCGATGAGTATGGAGATTTTTCTTTATCATAAATGTGCCTGTTGGTACTGCTTAAGGATATTTTGTGTGTTTACTTCATTGTCATATTTGTGGTTTTGTGGTTCAAACTTTGGCATTGTTAAAATCCTATGTTTGACCACTTGTTAGACAGCATCATTGATCAAAAGCCAAGTGACAAGTGGCTTCTGGATCAATAATTGTCCCTGATCATAATAAAACCAGCGAAACTTTTGATTTGAATGTGAGAACTGTATACATTTGGCTACCCAGAAAATTTAACTTTTAGTGGTCAGTAAATATGAATGAAAATATAGGTATGAAACCTAACCAGCCCTACTGGTCATCATCAGGTTCAATCGTAGAGTGATTTTAACGTAAGCGTTTAAATATATCGAATAATGTGGAAAGACCAATTGTATCCTATGGAAGCATTAAAACATAACAAATACGCAACATTAAAAATACGCCTCATAATAGGCCAAAATAACAGGTAACTCATGTATATTTTCACAAACGATACACATTTTTGAATTTATATTTTTAGTATCGATGCCAGATGCCCTCCAACAGATGCCCTATAAAGTACACTCCAGTTCAACAGTGGTGTAAGGACTCTGAAGTGTAATGGTGTGGTTTAGAATGTACGTCACGTATGAGGGATATACTCTGCTGCTAAAGCTTACGTCACTCATAGCAATACGTGGGGAGTATCTGTCTGGATTACAGGGAAATGGTACAGGGCTTTGGTCACAATGTAAAACAGTCCTAAATAATGTATTTTATGTGGTCATAGCCAGACCGTAGAGATTCCATATAAAGTACACTCCAGTTCAACAGTGGTGTAAGGACTCTGAAGTGTAATGGTGTGGTTTAGAATGTACGTCACGTATGAGGGATATACTCTGCTGCTAAAGCTTACGTCACTCATAGCAATACGTGGGGAGTATCTGTCTGGATTACAGGGAAATGGTACAGGGCTTTGGTCACAATGTAAAACAGTCCTAAATAATGTATTTTATGTGGTCATAGCCAGACCGTAGAGATTCCATATAAAGTACACTCCAGTTCAACAGTGGTGTAAGGACTCTGAAGTGTAATGGTGTGGTTTAGAATGTACGTCACGTATGAGGGATATACTCTGCTGCTAAAGCTTACTTCACTCATAGCAATACGTGGGGAGTATCTGTCTGGATTACAGGGAAATGGTACAGGACTTTGGCCACAATGTAAAACAGTCCTGAGTAATGTATTTTATGTGGTCATAGACAGACCGTAGAGATTCCATATAAAGTACACTCCAGTTCAACAGTGGTGTAAGGACTCTGAAGTGTAATGGTGTGGTTTAGAATGTACGTCACGTATGAGGGATATACTCTGCTGCTAAAGCTTACGTCACTCATAGCAATACGTGGGGAGTCTGTCTGGATTACAGGGAAATGGTACAGGACTTTGGCCACAATGTAAAACAGTCCTGAGAAAAGTATTTTATGTGGTCATAGCCAGACCGTAGAGATTCCATATAAAGTACACTCCAGTTCAACAGTGGTGTAAGGACTCTGAAGTGTAATGGTGTGGTTTAGAATGTACGTCACGTATGAGGGATATACTCTGCTGCTAAACCTTACGTCACTCATAGCAATACGTGGGGAGTCTGTCTGGATTACAGGGAAATGGTACAGGACTTTGGCCACAATGTAAAACAGTCCTGAGAAATGTATTTTATGTGGTCATAGACAGACCGTAGAGATTCCATATAAAGTACACTCCAGTTCAACAGTGGTGTAAGGACTCTGAAGTGTAATGGTGTGGTTTAGAATGTACGTCACGTATGAGGGATATACTCTGCTGCTAAACCTTACGTCACTCATAGCAATACGTGGGGAGTATCTGTCTGGATTACAGGGAAATGGTACAGGACTTTGGCCACAATGTAAAACAGTCCTGAGTAATGTATTTTATGTGGTCTTGCCAGATTTTAGGAAAAAAACAGGATCGAAATGTATTGTAATAAACAAATTATCTAACAGCTAACGGAATATATTGTTCAATGATCTTTCTGTATATACAAAAACGAAACACACAACCCAACCACTTATTAATTAATTGTAACGACTCACAGTTTCCGTGTTCAAAATCATCATAGCACCGGTTCACGTGTGTTAATATAAAATAATTGATACCGTAAGCAATATTGAATGACTGTAGTAAAATCTCTAATTGGTTATCGTGGGGGGGATCACTCCCTAGTCAACTCCTAGTTAAATTTTTAATAGATTTTCATATTTAGAGTCTACCAGATCTATTTAAATATTTAATGAATAAATAACAAACAAAGTCCAGATTTATCAACCATCCCAACCTTCGTGTTGATGTCGAGCACGCTTAATGTAAACTCAATTCAATACAAATTTTTTACAAGCAACCCGACCAAAACAATGGTTTGTATAAATCGAGGGAAAAGTGTTGTGAACACAAAATGAGTGTGCTAACAAATCTTTAAATTGCATAATAGAGTACCAAAAACAGTACATGATTAGCAATTACAAAATCATGACCTGTTTCCAAGTGTGTTTGCATTATGGTTATGCTCTACAATGGCTGCACTGAATATTGAATAACTGGTATTCATAATATTCACAGCTGACAGTTCCTGACAGACGTCCACTTGATTTAATGAGCTATTGCGCAATCTATTCATCCTTGGCTATTTGCAATACCCAGGCATAGCAAATGCAATCTATGTTGGGAAACACTTATGCATTCAGTAATGCAGTTATAATTTACTCAATTCTCGTAAAATGTATATTTTTAGAGAAATGGTGGATTCTGATACGTTTGCCGTTAGTAACTGAAAACTACGATGTTTTGAAATTATTTTGATGGTTTACAACTACTGCTCTCAGTATTTATTTAGTGTCGAATTATATTCAATTGATTTACTACAAAGTGGAGACACCTTGGTGTGCAATATACAAATATGACTAAAAAAACAAAAAAACTCAACTAGGCCTACTAATTTAAAACCATCTCGTAACCAAAATCAACAAATCAGAACTCACAATGATTAACTATGAACTCACGGCTGATAGAGTGAAAGATGAGAAGTGAGATCCTTGTAGCTCAGGATCAGCTTTTTTCTTGGTCAGGACTATCATTATAAAATCTATAATAGCCTCAACTAGTTTTGATATGTTAAAAAGTTTCTGACTTAACTTAGGATTGAAAATTAATTTCTAAATTTTACTTTGGGCTCATGTCTTTATCAAAGTTTAAAAGATTGTCCCTCCTACAACCATTGAAAGCAACTAATCTTTTATAGATAAAAAATATTATCAAGACTTTTTTTGTAAATATAGGCAAATTTAATTATCGCCTTACCTTACCTTACTCTCTGGCGCTACAGCCCACGATAAGCCTTGGCCTCCATCACAATTTGTCTCCAATCATCTCTGTTTCTTGCTCCATGTCTCCAATTCCCAATTCTCAAAATTCTCAAATCCTCTTCAACATCCTGCAATCATTTTTTCCTTGGACAATCTCTCTTTCTTGTTTTATGTATTTTACCATCTAGTAATTTTAGAAGCATTCTTTCAATCACAATCTCACTACGTGACCGAGCCATTTTAGCCTCATTAAAATCAATCACCCTAACTATAACCTACAAGATTCCTGGATCTTGAATAATCCTTTGATTAGATCATACAGCTCCTTATTATTTCTTATTCTATATTGTTCCCCTTCTTTTACCGGACCAAAGATTCGTGTTATTACGAGTTTAAATTAAATATAAAATGCTTATGGCAGTTATAGGCTACTCGTGCTTTGCATTTGTAATGGGAGAGGGCACCTTTAAAAAATTGGTTTACTATAATTGACGGTATAGCACATCTACCATATTCATAATGTAGAGCTATACATTCCATCCCCAATCTAGAGTTGTTGCCAGTTTTTAAAATCAGAATGGACGTAGTTGAAGCCAGCCACCGACAGATTGTGCTGATGAAAATTACTGATTTTGACGTACGTTTGGAATGTTTAACAGGTGTAACTAAGTTAAGCTTTAGCATCTTTTAATGTCACGAAAATTAGCCTACCTCATTAGCGAAAAATAAGGTTTGAGATAGATATTTTAGACACTAAAGCATTCTGTGACTGGCCCAACTACTTTCTTTTTTATAAAAAAAATGGTGAGTAAGCCACAGAATGTTCTATTATCCAATTAGTCAATGTTCACTAAACATAGCCTACTATTACTTACATAATAAAGATGTACCCATCATTCTTGGATCACTAGCAAACGCGTCGTGGCTTCGCTCACCAAAGTTTAAATTAAAAAGTTAAATGTTCAACCTGAGTAGGACCTACACTTCTTGATTTAAATTCATTTAACTATCAACAATCTGTTATGCATTAAAACTCTTCTTCAAGCCACAAAAATAATGTAAATATTTTTATTTTATGTAATAAAATATAACCAGCTGTTCCCTTAATTAATAGTGCAGATTTAAAAGTATTCATGTGTTCAAATGTAAATAAAATTTTTCTCCATAAGGATAACATGGATAACTTTGGTAACTGGGGCGGAGCCCCTGATGGAATTTCTTGAAAACGCTTCTTATTGCACACCTAGGGGTTGATTGGAACCTCCTTACTAATTCCTGAATGTTTATGACTAGTAGTTTTTTAGGTATAGTGATCAGTGAGTGAGTGGTATTTGACTTGTATAAGTATAGAAGACATGAACACAATAAATTTTCAAATATACTTTTCATACTCGTATATTAAATAGGGACGGTATAAATCATACGCCCAAACAAATTACGTAACTGGTCCGAAATTAAACATGTTTGCAACAATATTTAAAAGG